TGTCCTGATGCAGGCAGACTGTTTTACCCAGTTGTGACGGCAGTGTCCACACCATTTTTCTTTGTGTTAATGAAATATTTTAGCTATACCCGAAAGAATCGATAATGATAGAATCCACAGGTGTGTACCCAGCACCCACGGCAACCCTCCCCTGATCACCTTTTTCTTCCTCTTCTAGCTGTCCTGACTCGGGTGTCATTGTTCCCATTCATGTCTTTATACTCTTAAGGCATACATATTGACCCATAAACAAGATATAAGACTTTTTTTTGCCATTTTAAGCTTTATAGAAATGGAATCAAGCTCATATAAACATCTGCGGTTTGCTATTTTTGCTCAAGATTATGTTGTGAGCTTTGTCCATAGCAGCACACAGTTCTGATTCATTTTAATTGCTATGTTATATTCCATTGTGAAGTTAGACTACAATTTACTTTTCATTCTCCTTTTGGGGACATTTAGAATGTTTCCTTAGTTTTGCTATTACAAATAATGCTGAAACAAACACATCCTATAAGGTCTTCTGTGCCCATGTCTGAGCTTCTCTACAGTCTACTTGGGTGTGTAATTGCTGAGCCCCATCCATGTGCATCTTCACGTGCCAAACGTCTGCCTCATTAGCCAGTTCATACCACATGGAAGGGTCTGTTAGCGTTCATCCATGCTAACGCTGGGTATTGTCAGAATTAATTTTTGCCAATTTTCTGGGTGAAAAGTGACATCCCATTATTTTATTTTGCATTTTCCTGTTTGACCGATCATTTGAGAGGTTTCTAACACACCATTTGAGAGGTTTCTAAAAGGTGTCAACCCTTTTATATCACAGAATTGATGCTCTTTGGCTGAATCTGAAGGGAATGTTAGAGTAAAACCATTTTCCTCTCTGCTTCTTTTATTTCACTTTCTCTTTCCTCTTGTTCCTTCTCTCTACTCCATCCCATTCCAAAAACATTGTTCTGAAATAGTTGACAAATACAGCCTATGACACAAGAAGATTATTAATAAATAGGAGACCTCTTGGGAGAAAGCAAAGCAAAGAAAGCTCGGGGGTAATACTGATGTACAAAATCCCTGCCACGCAGTTGTGACAGATGGGCCATCACTTTGATTTGGAGCTTCCTGACAGTCAAAGCTAAAAGGGAAATGTGATCAGCTGACAGATACGCAGAACTCAAGATAAAAGCAAAGCAGCTGCACCAGAGACACACAGTTTCCTGGCATTGGGACCAAGAGAGACTGTTCCAGTGAGTCATCCTTAGGGGACACAGTGTAATGGAGAGTCAACTTTTCACCACAAACCTTTTTCCATGCTGTTCACGACACCACCAGATTCCATGGAGTGGACTGCCAGAATGGCTTACTGGATACTTAGCAGTTTTCCCCCCACTTTTTTGTCTTGGTAACATTGCAGGGAGCATCTTGAGGCAAATAGTTTTTGGCTTCTGTTGTGTTGCCTCCTCAGGATCCATTTCTCCATGTCAGGCCAGGAGCCTCCTTCTGTCTTATTACAAAAGGTGCCGGTGCTTTGCCAGTGTGAGTGCCCCCATGGATGAGTTGCCAACCCTGGAGAGGACTGGACCAGCATCCTCTGCTGAGAGGTCAAGGATTCTGAGATGGAACTTTTGCCACTGCCTCTATGGAAATGCCTCCAAAGACATCTCCTTCCCTCCACAACCCTGGCTGCCACCACCGCCCTGGAAGGGGGCCAGGCAGGTTCCTGCACCAGCCACTCCTTCAGCCGTGTTCACTCATCCCCAAGACCCCCTTCATTCTGGGGGCCAGTTCCAGGGGCTCCTGAGCAGCAGGACAGCTGGGTCTTGCACTCTCCGAGGGGAGGCAGGCCCCTGTGCTCAAGACTCCTGGTGGCCTCTCTGTTGTCTCAGAAAGGAGCATGTGACCTGGGCCGGAGGAAGGCAGGCCAGGCTGGGGAGGAGGGAATATCACAGAGTCGGGAAGCAGTCGGACCCAGCTCCCCTTTTGAGCAAATTACATCATGTTTCTGAGCCCCCATTTCCTTTTCTATGGGATGATAATAAAAACATTTCAATCCTACCTCATAAGGCTACTTTAAAGGCCCAAACAAGAAAATGTGCAAGAAAGCACCTTGAAATCTGTGAACTGATGCTGCAAAGAGCCCCCTCTCTCTCCTGGGTGGGATGTCCAGTTTTAGGCCTGCTGTGCCTCCCCTGGTGTAGAGAGGGGACTAGACTCAGGAGGGGGGGCCAGGGCCCCGGACGGGTCAGGGAGTGAAGACAGCGGACGATGGAGGAGCAGGTGGGTGGAGTGGTCGGATGCACAGGATCTGAACTGAGAGGAGCCTGCGTGAAACTCGGTGCAGGCCCTTATCAGCTATGAGATCTTAGGCAAATGGCTTCACCAAGCCTCAGCTTCCTCACAGGAAAAATGGGGATATTAGTGCCCTCCTTAAAGAGTTGTGAGGCTTGGGGCGCCTGGGTGGCTCAGACGTTAAGCGTCTGCCTTGGGCTCAGGTCATGGTCCCAGGGTCCTGGTATCGAGTCCCACATCAGGCTCCCTGCTCCGTGGAAAGCCTGCTTCTCCCTCCTCCACTCCCTCTGCTTGTGTTCCCTCTTTCACTGTGTCTCTCTCTGTCAAATAAATAAATAAAATCTTAAATAAAAAAAAAAAAAGAGTTGTGAGGCTTAAACGAGATACTACTTATAAAGTGCTTAGATTAGAACCTAGCAGTGTTAGCTGTAATTATGACAGAGTCCGGAGAAAGTGCTCAAGCCTTAAATCAGGAGGGTGGCAGCTTTCCATCTGAGGCGTAGGAGGCTGGCTGCTGTGGGAGGGGAGCCTGCTCTCAGGAACTTCTCCTGCCCCCTCCAGCTGCAAGACAACACGGCTCATCACAGAAGCTACTCTCCCTCGGCCCCACAGTTATGCTGACTGCTGTGGGGAGCCAGAGTGGCCTGGGGGAGAGGAGTGGGTCTTCAGGGCTGGGCATGCACAAGGAACATGGTGACTGACTGTGGCCCAAAGGAATCACAGTCTCTCTTACTGTTACGCCCCTTGACCCATCATCCTTGCCACCTCCCCTCAGAAGTCTTCCCGGGATCCCTCCACTGGACATCTTTCCTCTGAACTTCCATCTTCTGTTCCTTGTCCTTCCCTGTGGCCTACCCAAAAATATACAGAGGTTCTCCAGAACCCTTCCATCTCCCCCACCTCCACGTGCAGGATTAGGCAAAATTTCTCAAACTGGTCTCTGTTGTAAAATGAGTTAGTTGGACTGGATGCTCTTCTACGTCCTTCTGGGCTCTAAGCTTCAGAGTCATGTTTCTGGCTTTTCCTACTACCTTTCACGCATCTCTAAATGTTTCCCTTCAGCCAAACTGTCAAGGTCCCCCAGACACAGTGTCACTACCCTGCCTCTACACCTTTGCGCATGCTGTTCCCTTCTGCCTGGACCACCTTCCTCCCTGAGCTGCAGCCCCGGAGAGCCTTTCCTCACTCCCCCTGGCTTCTGCCCCTCATGGTATTTTGTCCCCCTTGCACAGCACATGGCCCTACTTTGCCAAGAATCATCAAGATCATGGACATCCCCTCATGTTGGCCTCCTCCACGACACCCAGTATGAAGTATTTGAAATTTAAAGTGTATATATGCAGACACACACACACACACATTAACATTTGTATAAAGTCACTTATTAGTAATTTTAAAAAATATTCAAATACTGGGGTGCCTGCCTGGCTCAGTCGGTGGAGCATGCGACTCTTGATCTCGAGGTTGTGAGTTCGGGCCCCACGTTGGGTGTATAGATTACTTAAAATCTTTACAATAGATAGATAGATGAATTCAAATACTTCCAATTATGCCCCATAAAATCAATCAACATTTAGGGTGTTTGTAGATTTATCCATCCTTTGGAAGGATTCTGGGCGCCTTCTCCTGGGAAGTTTGAGGCCCACAGGCTGGGAAACACTGGTAAGTTCATCACAGATGCCAATGGTACATCTCTATGTAAAGGAGCCACTGGGGGTTAGACAGTGCGGTATAGCTGACTTCTCTCAACTTTCATGGGAGAGAGAGCTGCCTCCCTTTAACCCCCTTACTGGAGGTCCCCCCTTGCCCCAGAAACGGCTTCTTGGGACCCAGGAAGAGGAGGCAGGGGAAGTCCCAGGCTTGAGGGAGGGCACAGAAAGTCAGGACATGTGGTAAGAGGGCAGAGGTAAGCATGAGAGAGGGAAGCCCCTGGAGGGCCACTGCTAGGGGGCAGCACAAGGCAGGGACTTGGGGTCTGAGCACTGGAGTCAGTCAGAGTGGGGCTCTAACTCCACCACTTACTGTCCATGCCCTGTCAGGCGAATTACAGCTCTGAGCCTCAGGTGTCTCATCCGCAGAACGGAGGTAACGCAATACTGTCTCCATGGGACTGTGCTGTAACACTTAACACAGAACAGGGCACGTACTAAAAACTGAAAAGAGAAAAAAAAAAAAAGAGGGAGCTACTGGTAGTACTAGTGATACTACTAATTCGTAGTTCCAGCAGCAGCCCCAGCCATAGTAACATAAACAGGAAGAGAGAGTATACGGCACAACAGCTCTGAAGGTAGGTGGGGAGGCATTAATGGGGATCCCAGCGGCCCCGGAAAGCAGGTGGGGCAGGGAGAGAGCACTGCAGTGCAGGAGGCCTCACGACTTGAGCAGCAGGAGGAAGGGTGAAGATGACACCAAGAGGACAGGAGACCCACACCCCACCTTGCTTACTAGCTTCTGAAAGCCTGTCTCTCCCCCCATCTCCCGACAACTGGCGGCTTCCTCCTTCCCTGGCCAACAGCGGGTTGGTGGGTGCTGAGCTCCCAGGAGACATCCGATCCCCAGAACCTGAAACCCGGGGAAGCTGATTTATGGAGTCTTCAATCAGCCCAGCAAAAAGCCCAAGCCAAGGGCCACACGAAGAGGACTGTGGGAGTAGGAACCCTCTCCCCGTATCCCCGCCCAGTCCTGAGGCTGGCCACAGCCCCCCAGACTCAGAATGAGGGTATACAAGGCTTTATTGGCTCAGTTCCAGGCATTTGGCGTCAGTCTGGGGCTCTCAGCTACTCCTGGGATCTGCGTCGTCTGTCTTCTCTCGGTGGGTCTTCAGGGGCCCGGGCGTGTGTCTCGGCTGCTTCCCTTCCTTCCACCTGCCCCTCCATCGGGAGCCATTCTCCGTGGTAGACCCTACTCACAGACTCGAAGGGGCCCAGGAGCCCCGTGGGGGGCTGAGGAAGAAGGGTTTTGGGCGGCAGCCTCTCACCCTGGGCCACACGAGTTGCCCCACAGGAAAGAAAACAGGCCTGCACTTGTGTGCCAGCCCTGTCGGGGGAAGGGGCGTCTCCATCCATGGTTAGGTGGTGGCTTCAAAGGGGTGGTAGGTGTGTTGGCTGCGGTTGGGCAGACTGTGGCTCTGGTGGCTCAGGTGGCTCGGATAACCCTGGTGGCCGTGGTGACCGTGGCCATGGAAGGTGTGCGCGTGGTTCATGCCAGCTACCGCGGTTTCTCGCTGAGTGAGGAAATTCCCCTTCAGCTTCAACTCCACCTCCTCGAGGGCCTTCAGCTCCTCCTGGTTGATGTCTTTGGACTCCAGGTGGCCTGAGTTCTGGTAAATCGTGGCGCGCTGCAACATGGAATTAGCCAGCTGCTGTCCCAGGTTGTCAATCTCCTTGGTACAGGTAGCCACAGTGGCCCACACGGCCACATCCGTGGACGAGGATTTTCCAGACTCCCTCTGGGTCTCTTTGGTCAGCGAGGAGCCAGACAACCTCTGCTTGCTGGTGAAGGACTGCCCATGCAGAGCTGCGCCCACCTCTCCTTGCCTGGTGGTGAAGGTCTCCGTGCGCACCGTGGTGCTGGCCTCCCCACTGCCACTCTCGGGGGCAGGGGGGCTGCTGTTGCTGGCGGCCAGCTTCTCTTCGGAAAGGCAGCTAAAGTGAGATTTAATCCAGTTCTCATTCTTTGCTTGGTTACCTTTGGGTGGCCCCTGCTCCTCCTGGGCAGGAGCAGGGGATGTCTTCCTTCTCCTCCTCCTCTGAATCCACAGCATGAGGCCTCCACCACCGAGTAAGAGGGCAGCCCCCAGCACCACCTTGCATGATGGTTGCTGGATGAGCTCCAAGAAGGCCTCCAGGACCCTAAGCCAGGCAGGCAGAGCTAAGAGCACACTGGGAGTGGGGGAGCCCGGATGGTATGGTTCATGCTTGAAAGGGCAGGTTCCCCGAGGCTGTCTGGCTGGCAGGCCCCCAGCAGGACCCTTCCTAGGATGCCCCTCCCACCTCAGCAATGAACCCCATTGTGAGGAAGGTGGCTAGGGGGGCGGGGTGGGGAGAGGCCACAGCATCCCTCATGTCCAACCTGGCAGGCCATTTCCTGAGGCCCAAGTCCTGTCTCCCACCCTGACAGCTGTCCCCGAGGTCAGTGGAAAAGCAGCTTCCCCAGTTCTGAGTCCCTTCTGCCTTCGGCTTGTGACCCATTCTGCAACTCAATCCTTCTTCTTTTCCAAACTTTGGTTTCTCTCCCGCTCCATCTGGTAGCCCCCAGGGGGCAGGTGCTGCCAACCACGGCTGAAGGGGGTCCTTCCATTCCAGGCATCCATTCCAGGCTGCCTGAGGTCGGGGTCTCCTTTCATTCAGGGCCCACCCCTGCTGCCAGCTTGGCACATTTGCAGCCCCAACCCCTTTACAGAGCAGGATCCAGAAGGGAAGGAGCTCATTCTAGAATAACATGAGGTCACAACTGAGAGGAGAGAACAGTGGGCTGAGAAGGCAGAGCAGAAAGGATAGGGGTCTTCACCAGATCCCAGATCCCAGAGGCCATTTCAGGATGGGGGCTGCTACCTCTTGCCTTAGTGACACACCTGCAAACCCAGAATTTTCCCCCCTCCCACTGAGCCCTGGTTACATGGGCACAGTTTAGATGGTGAGCAGGTGGGCCATCTGGCCAGGCTCTCTGTAGGTACAGACAATGGAGAGCCTGGCCCACAATTCCAAATTATATCCAGAGCCTCTCAGGGTAGAAACAGGCCTGGGCCCCTCTATTTTTCTCCCAGAGGCATCTAACACATTTTTTAAAAAACACAGTTCACTTTTTAAAAGTGAATGCCAAAGTAAATGCCAAAACAGGTTGTAAAAATTGTGATTTTTTTTAAACAAAATATTTTTATTTAACAAAGTAATGGCTTTAATATACACTATAATATCTTAGTCTACGTACTAAGGGAATAAGATACAAGCTCAAAGTTTTATGGGGAACATCATCTCCCTAGTCCTGCTGAAGTAGCTCTGTGGTCGTCCACTAACCTCATTTGGAAATAACAACTCAAAGTTCATCTTGGAGGTTGTTTGTGGGAGTGAGTTCAGGGCCAAATGGCCCCTCTGCAACAGTTTTACCCTCCGGTCTCTAGTTATAACTTTCATTTAAAAATGATACTCTTTATACAAATAATCAGCAAAAATTAACAATTCAAAAATAAGAAATAAAGAGAGCTACACAGTTTCAGGCAATACCTTCCAGAAGAATCTCTAACTGTTCACTGATTCATCAAAGGCAGGTTCCCACCTCCTCTTTGGAGGCCCTTTAACTTATTGCAGGAGGCCGTGGCAATGTGGTATGTGATGGCTTCCTCCTCTGCCTCCGAGTGTTGGGCAGCAAAGCCAAAGCCGGGGGCCAGGATAGAGCCAGAGAAACATTGTCTGTAGAGCAAAAGTTGCTCACGGCTCCTCTCCCGGGCATTCTGGCTGTGTCCTGGGAGCGGTGACAGGACCCTATGGCTCTATTCTTTGTGCCAGGGCCTCACACTTGAGCTGCTTGGGAGGAATGCGTTAACCCTGTGGCTCGGTTCCATTCTAAAACGAGGAAGTCAGATTAGAGAGGTTCAGGGATTTCTCCAAGGTCGCCATAACTGGCAGAACCAGGATTCTTACCCAGCCTTCTAACTCGGGATGCTGAGCTCTTTCTACTCAGCCCACGGCCTCCCTGGTGTGTGGGTAAGAGAGAGTTGAGGCGGGAGGAGGACCCTGTGTGGGTCAGTGGGCACCCGTGGCCCATGGCCTGCCAAATCCACAGCAGCCTATGATCCTGGGCACCCCCGTGTGCTCTGCAGGAGTGAATGAGCAGCTAGGAGGGAAGGAAAGGTCCAGAGAAGAGCCTGGGGGTGTCTGTGGATTCTCTGGGTGGCAGGCAGGCACTGGACGCAGAGTTCACCCTCCCCACCCCCTGCACCAGGGTGTCATTGAACCTGGAGGGTGAAGCCAAGTCTTCCTTCCTCTTAAGATTCAAGGAGCAAGGGGCGCCTGGCTAGCTCAGTCAGTGGAGCATGCGACTCTTGATCTTGCAGTCATGAGTTCAAACCCCATGCTGGGCATAGAGATTACTTAAAAAATTTTTTTTTCATAAATAAGAATTCAAGGAGCTTCTCACTTTGCTTCAAGAGACGCAGGCCTCCGTGCAGACTCTCAGGCCCCAGCAAGCTGAGCCCGAAGAGAAATTTACTTAGAGTTTGTGTCACTGCTCACCATGGGCATCCACAGGGCATTCACTGAGCCCTAGGAAAGGGTCCCATCACCTCAACCCTGAGATGTGGATGGGGTTTGGTCAGGTCAGTAGTCAGTCACAAAGCAGCTCTATGGCACTGTGGTCCTAGTGATTGTGACCACTGGATCCATAACTTCTAGGGTACATCACCCTTTTCTATTCACAGCGTGCTTTCATTTGCCCTCCCTTGGATTTCTCTCCCAGCCATCGTACGATGTGGGCATGATTACTCCCAGGTGTCAGACGGGGAGACTGAGGCTCAGAGAGATGATCTCACAGCTAGGTCAGTGGCAGAGCTGTGATCTGAATCCAGAGTCCATGTTCTCAACTGCTCCGCTGCCTCCCCCTCAGTCAGAACCTCTCCACTCCCAGAGCTGGTGCCAACCAGACTTTGTTGAAACAGTCTGGTCAGGCAACTCAGCGGTTAGTGCTGTGGAGTGAAACCAAGCATAGCCCTGCAGTCAGACCTGGGTTCAAATCCCAGCTCAGCCATGTATTAGCAATGACCCTGGGCAAGCAACTGTGTCACTCTGAGCCCCAGCTCCCCATCTGTGAAATGGGGCTAGTGAGATTACCGCCTCGGGGAGTTGTCACAGGTGACAGACGAGGGTGGACAGGATGGGAGGGACTGACCACTTCTTCTTCCCTCCATTTGTTGTGCCTGTGGCTGTGTTGCATGTTGTCCGGTCCCTGACCTCAGCGAGGGGAGACCCATGTGTAAAGAGGGAAATGACTCAGAGGATCCAGGGAGGCTTGGCTCAGAAGAGAGTGTGCAAACAAGGCTTGTAGGGAGATGAGCCCACTGGCTGGGTTGCCACGTGACACCCCCAGCTGCCTTCACAACCGCACAGTGTTTAGCTGACAAGGACTTTCATACCCATTACCTAGGGCCTAAAAAGGCACTCTGGTAGTTTACAACTGGGGAAACCGAGGCAGGTGAGACTCAGTCAAGGTTGCACGCCAGCAAGGAGCTTCCTGCCTCTTGACCCCAAAGCAGTGCCCCCTGCTCCTCTCCCATAATAAAACGACTCCTGGGGTACCCAATGTCTCTGAGCAGCTCACTGGTCGAGGAGATTGGGGTCATTCACATCTCCCCCGACTCCCCCAGAGGACAGACCCCACTTACCTCGGAAGGGGAAGGTACCCAGTTTGTGCAGGTTCTCCTCCAGTTTCCCATAGTCCACCTCTGCCGTGGCAGTGAAGGGGGTGGTCACAGGGGGGTAGATGCCTGCAATGTCCACCTTCCTCCCCTCCCCTGAGGCCCAGCCCCCCACATTCCTGGACAAGCCCCTGCTCAGCCCCTGCCTCACGGAGGACCAGACTCCACGGCCCAACATCTCTGCAAGAGGCCCGAGGCCCAGCTGGTCTCTGCCCCTGAGTGAGGCTGAGTTTGAACTCCTTCCTACCCTGTTAATGATCAGTGTGTCGAGTTAAAAATTTGCTGCCCCTTGAGTATTGGTGCTGGCGCAGGCCTGGGCTGAGCGTCCCCAGGGTCAGAGGCTAAGCCTATAGGCCCCATGGCCTCGCTCCCCTTAGGGAGCAGCTGGACAAACGCCACAACCTAGTGTCCCTCGGGCCAGGCGGGGTTGGGGGGGGCGGGTTCCTGGAGTACCGACCCTACAAGGCTTCTCCAGTGGGGCCCGGGCCCTCCTCCCACAACTCCCGGCCCCAAGGCCCGGAAGGCAGGCCGCGGCTGGCGGAGCCGATTGGCTGAGCTGGCCCCGCCCTGCGGGAGGGAGGCGTGGTTGTTGAGCCGCCGCCGGGAACCGCCGCCCTGCGCCCGCGCTCCGCTGCCGCGGATCCCGGGCCGGGCTCCCCCTGCGCGGGCGGGCCGCCGCGTGACCAGCCTGTGCTGGCCGCACACAGCCCTGTGGGACTGCGGTCACCAGGACGGGGGGAGGGGCAGGAGGGGTGCGCGGAGCAGCTGACCCACGCTGGTAATTTGGGAAGAGGGCTGGCAGGAAAGAAGAAGACACCTCGGTAGGAAAAGCCACAGGGCTGGGGCCAAAGGGCTCCAGGCTCCCCTCTTCCCTGAACCTACCCTGGCTCCGTTTTCCTTCACTCCTAAACATTTCAGACACAAATAGAAACAAACATCACCAATAGCAAAAACGACTTTTTTATTGCAGTTAGCTTGTGGGTGTCCCGGATCGTACGCAGAGGAATGGCAGGGTCCTCGGCCCTGGGGGCCGTTCTTATGACCCTCTGGCTGCATGCAGGGGACAGCCCGGGTGCCCAGCTGGTCTGGGGCAGGTGTTTACTGGGCTGGCACAGGCTGGGGGGGCTCCTGCCCACTCTCGGCAGGACCCTCCAGCCCGTTCTGCTCCGACCCTGGCTCGGGCTCAGGGTGCTCCAGAGCCTGCCGGGTGTCAGCTTGCCACAGCTGCACCAGGTCCGTGGGAGTCTTTCCTGCCTGGGGGAACCAAGCGGAGATCTGGTCACTGTTCAGAAGTTTGTACCAGGAGGTTCCCTCATCTAGACGAGGGGTTGCAACCAGGGGCAATTGGCAACGTCTAGAATGTTTGTGGTTGTCACAATCCGGTAAGTGGGAACTACTGGCATTTGGTGAATAGAGGCCAAGGATGCTGCTTTAACATCCTATAATGCACAGGACAGTTCCCTCACACCAATTATCCAGCCCAAAATGTCAATAATGTCCTGGTTGAGAAACCCCCATCCACTGCCTCCCCATATCTTCCTGACTTTCCCATTATCCCCTTAGTCTTTCTCGAGTCAGGGGTGCCCTCCCATTACCCCCTCTTTCGCGATTGCTCCAGACCCCAGAGAAGAGCTTGGCCTAGGGCACATAGGACCCTGAGCGAACTCCAGGCCCACACAGTGTGCTAGCGGTGGTCGTGCCAACCAAGCGCTCAGGTTCCTTCCAGCTGTGTTCTTCCATGATTTTGGCCTCCCTGGGCCTAGACATTAGGACCCCCTTTGATCTATTTGGGGGCCTTTGGGAAGCCCTCTTACTGTCCTTTCTGGCCCTTTCTCTGCACTTGCCCTCTGGACAGAGATAAGCATAGAGAGAGCTGGGAAGGTGGGTGGGCCCCAAATTCCCAGGGGTCCAGAGAGACCCTCCACTGTGAGTGTGCTCCGAGGGCAGGCTGAGTCTTGCTCAGTTCTGTATTTCCTCTGAGTGCCTAGCACAGAGCCTGGGTGAGTGGTGCCCACAAATTACTGAATCAGGGAAGCAATGAACTTACTAGGTTCTTGGTCATCATGTCAGCCCCATGCAGGAGCAGCAGTTTGATGATTTTGTAGCGGTTGAGCCTCACAGCATCATGCAGGGCACTGTCCCCTTCCTAGAGCCAATGTGACACTCAGTATGGCCCACGGGGGCATATGGGAGCCCTCAGGCTTCCTGCACCCTCAGGATGGGGCTGAACAAAAGGGAAGCTGGATACTCACTCTGTCTTTGGCATTGATGTCCAGGCCCAGGGATAGAAAGTGCTGCACAATCTCCACGTGCCCTGTCCGGACTGCCACATGCAGGGGGGTACTCAGCAGCTGTGTGGGAAGGAAGCAGGAACTGCTGGCTGCCTCCGGGAGGGAGGCTGTCCTAACTCCAGCCTAATCCCTTCCCCAAGTCCTAGTGCCAAGGCCTGAGCCCCGCAACGCCTGGGAATGCTACAATTTCCACCATCCTATCCAGTGGTCTACCTCGGAAGCATTAGGTGCCTCGTCCTCTGGGAGGCCTTCTGTGGTTTCCCTCTCACCCAGCTGTTCACTCCTCTGCCCTTCTTTTAATAATTATAATAGATGCCATTTACTGAGAGGTAACTATGTGACAGGCATGGCAAAAGCTTATAAAACATCAGCCTTATGCTGAATAAATAATTTACATACATTTCCCCCATCTAATTATATAGGAATTCTGTAAGACATGTGACAGATAAGCCACAGAGGCTCACTAGTTCAAGGTTACACACAAAGGAATGAATGAATAAAAAAAATGGTGGACGAATAAACAAGCCAACAGATGAATAAATGAATGGATGGATGGATGGACAGATAGATAAAGGATGATGGAGGATGGCACAGATGAACAAATCCCACACCTTTTGGGTGATCCCAAAGCCCCCTAAATAGTGGATTTCTTCTCTTCCCCTCTCCTCTGTCCTTTCTGCTCCCATCCCCAGATGCTGGTCCCCAAGGACCTACAGGTGATGGCCAAGACCCCTCCCTGGGCTCTGCAGCCCCTCTAGAAACCAGACCAGCTCACTATCCTCCTGCTTCCTGGGCTTTTCTATTCTCTGCCCCTTACCCTCCCTCCCCAGCCACCTAATACCTATGAGCATTATTGCCTCACCTTGTCCCTCATGTTGGTGTCTGCTCCTCGGCTTTGCAGGAGCTTTACCACCTCCAAGTGGCCCCCGCGGCAGGCCCAATGCATGGCTGTGCAGTCCAGCTGGAAGGGAAAGATGGGGCTGTAAGGGAGAAAATGCACTGGGGGAAAGGACCCTGGCCAAGAGGGCAGGAGGAATCGAAGGAAAGGGGGCAGGGAAGGGGCAGGGGCATGCCTGTGCCTGGGCAATGGACCGAGCAGAGCAGGGGAACCCTCAGGTCCAAGCCAGGTTTACAGAGGATGGCCCCAGGCCATACAACCCACTGGAGGTGGGGCCTGGCCCCAGAGGAAGCCTGTTTGTCTCCCAGCTTGGCACAGGTTTGCAGGGAGAGGGGGTCTATTGGTGCTGGGCCCACCTCCTACCTCCCACCCAATAGGTATCTCTTGCTCACCCGATCCTGGAAGTCCACAGTGGCCCCACGGCCTAGAAGCTTCTCCAGGATCTCCATGTGACCTTCCAGGGAAGCTCGATGAAGTGCTGTCCGGTGGAACTGTCCCCAGAGAGACTGTCAGGGCCTGATCTCTCTCAGGCTGAGACCAGGCCTTACCCCATTTCGATTCTGAGCCTGTGCTGGGTCCCCATAGCTTCCATGTTCTGGCAGCTCCTTCATGTTCTATCCAGACCAGCCTTGGAGCCCTCTTATGCCCTGGGAACTCTGACCTTCTCACTGTCCCCCACCCCCAAGCACATCAAGCTAGGCCTTGACACGGGCTGTTCCCTCTGCCAGCAATGCCCATTTTTGCCCTTACTTTCTGTGAGTGCTTGATGAATTCTTGCTACTCCTTCAAGAGGCAGGGCAGCTCAAGTGCCATTATCTTGAAACCTCTAGGCCAGAGCTGCCCCCAGGGGACCCAGAGAAACAGTGAGAGGGGAATGGAAGGCAGGCCAAGTCTTACTAGACTCTGTTTCCCCTGAGTGCCTAGCCCAGGGCCAGAGGGGCAGGTGCGCACCCATGACTGATTCAAGGAAGAAATGAAATTTAGCATTTTGCTTTGGTCTCTTGAAACACTCAGGCCATGAGGCATATCTTCCCACAGTCAAGATCTGGCTATGTGCCAGTCTCCCTCTACTCTCAACTCTGGTCTTTCCTTTTTTGCACTCCCAGCACCTGGCACAGTGCTCAGAGGTAGGAGGTGTTTGGATAGACCAAGAGGATTGAGGCCCCCGAGTCTCATGGAATGGAAGGGCCATGTAGTCTAAGCCCACAATGATGCAGGCTGCAGAGGGTGACCATTAAGTTGCTTAATCCCGGGAGATGAATATGAAAGAGCGCTCTGCCAATGTGAAAGAGGCAGTTTCAGGGAAAACAGGAAAGTATGGTGATGGAAACGTTTTTAAAATCATGGTGATGGTTGCACAGCATGGTAAATATAATTAATGCCACTGAACTGTACACTTAGAATGACTAAAGTGGCATATTTCATGTTATATGTATTTTGCCACAATACAATAATTTTTAAAAGGAAGCGTGTTATACAGTGCAACACAAAAATATCATCTCCTAGCATGTGCTTTATAGTTTTTTCCTTCAGTCAGTAAATACTAATCGAGGCATTAATATTCCATTTGATTCCCATGACATGCTCTGAGGGAAGGAGGCCATTTTACAGAGGAGGAAACTGAGACACGGAGCTAGCTGAAGGTCACATGGTTAGGGAGTGATAGAGATGGGATTTGAGCCCCAAATTCTTGGTTTGGGCTCTTTTTTACTTAATTCCATTCCTCTTTTTTCCCTAAAAGACCACATGACATTTGTTACTCTGGAGGTAGTTCAAGTTGCAAAGGGCCTAAGGACTTAGGTAAATTCCTGCATGGGCAAGGTGGCATCCCAAATCTTCTAAGGGTCCCCCTCCCAAAGGACACCCAATGCCTGTTCTCAAACAGGCCCACCAGTGGGCGGAGTGGGGGTGGCAACTCTGAAAGGGAGGCAGGCCCAGGTGCAGGTAGAACATCACCTGATCACAGGTGTCCGGGGAACCCCCATCGGCCAGGAACTTCTCAATGACCTTCATTTTCCCCTCCACGGCCGCTTTCAGGAATGTCTCCTCTTCCACAGGGCCAGTCTGGAAGGCATGAAACCAGTAATGGAAGGCTGGCCTGCAGTGATCAGAGGCCCTCCTGGGCTCCCCATTGCCCCCTGCCGACACAGGTGCCTCCCCAAGACCCTTACGATCTCCTCGGGCTCTGGAGGTGGCTCCGGGGAGGCCATCAGTGCTTCCCGCTTCTTCTGCTTCCGTTTTTTCCGCAGCTCGATGAGGTTCTGGATCCCACCCACGTCAATGATCTCCCGCCGAAGATCTAGGGATGTCTTGCGCACACGCTCTTGGCCCTGCATGGAGGTGGCTCATCAAACCCCATGCTGGGGCCTTGGGGTCCCTGAGCTAAGCTGGGGGAGGAGGATAGAGAGAGCTTCGCAGGAGAGAGAGAATCCAGGTCTAGCTCTCCTGCCCAGGACTAGGAGAAGCAGATGAGACCAGGACACAGATGGGGATCAGGGGACAAGGGGAGACCTGAGGGGACTGCGTAGAAGCTGCCAGCTTTGAGCCTTCATGTAGGTGAAGGGTAGGAGGAGGGAATCTCAGAGGTAACCCTCCGCCCAGGCCTTCAGAATGGAATCTGAATCCTCAGCTTTCCATGCAGTTTCACCTTTCCATGCAGTTTCATTTGTGTGTGTGAGAGATCATAAAAGTAATATAGAAACGGGGGCACCTGGGTGGCTCAGTTGGTTAAGCGACTGCCTTCAGCTCAGGTCATGATCCTGGAGTCCCGGGATCGAGTCCCGCATTGGGCTCCCTGCTCAGCGGGGAGCCTGCTTCTCTCGCTCCCTCTGCCCCTTCCCCCGCTTGTGCTCTCTCTCTTTCTCAAATAAATTTTTTAAAAATTTAAAAAAAAAGTAATACAGAAACAGTAATACAGAAACATAAAAGGTATGAAGAGAAAGCCCTTCTCTCCCAGAGGTAACTTCTATTATGGCTTGGCTGATGCCCTTCAAATAGCATCCTATGGGATCATCTTCCACAATAGTGCTCTGGAAACTCTGGTTTCCTTGTACCAGCACTGAGGTCTCTCCAATCAGCACCCTTAACATGGGCATGGTGCCCTGCTGTATTGCTACCCAGTCAGCTGGGGCTTCCAATAGGGGCTTCCTATTGGATGAGTCCATCCCCTGGGATCTTGTACACATGCAGATTCTGACTCAGCAGGTCTGGGGTGGGGCCGAGATTTGGCATTGCGAGCGTGATCCTGGGGAGGGGCGGCTGAGATAATGGTTTGCATACCTCACTAGGGGGAGCAAAGCCATAACTGCCTGTCCTGTCCCCTGAGCGTGGAGCTTGGGTTCTCCTCACACATTACCTTAACCTTCTGTAAGGCCGGACTCTGAGCCCCGTGGTGCTTCTCATCCTCCAACACCAGCATGTCCATGGGCAGCTTCTGCTGGGCAGTTCCTCGGAGTTTCTGGTGAGCCAAGGAGAGGATGTGCTCCAGGACCTGCCCACAGCACCCAGGGAGGCAGGTAGCCTCTCCCCCAACCCACTCCAAGGAAACCCCAAAGACCTCCTACTGTGTGACCTCAGAGCCCTTCTGACTCCTGACTGGTCCTGGAGAGCCCCTGGCCAAAGCCAAGCTCCCCATAGTTCCCCAACTCAACCCTACCCCAAGCTCAGCTCAAACACCTGTCCACTGACGGTCGTGTGTCCTTAGCAAAAGAAGTTCAAGGGCCACTGGAATGAGTTTTCATGAAGTTAAATATATTCCCCTTTCAAAGCGCTGAGATGATGATGATGATGGTGGTGATTTCTTTGTTGCCATTAAAAATTCGCATTGATGAAATGATTGTGGTAAGAATTGAGTTATTTTTTAAATAGATTCATGTGTCAATACAAAAATTTGGCAACTCTCAGATACCAACTTTTTTTCTCAGATTTTACTGCTCCATGAAATCCTGGGGCTGGAAATTTGTTGTCAGGGAACCCGAGGACGGGAGCCACAGCTACATAGCCTTCAGTTTGAAGGGACTCCTAGCATTGCCCTTATTCTCATTGTAATTAGATGGGTGAAACTCCTTCCAAGTCTCCTCTCCATTTGTAGTTTTGACTTGCCTGGACTGCTTCCTTGTGGGCTCCTCCTCTGTTTTAAGGAAGCCACTTTTTGTGAAGTGCTGGCACCCCATCTCTGTGGGGAGTCCAGATGGCGGCTGGGGAGGAATGGCCACCCTTACAGAGCTCTCAGCTTCCTTGTTCCTTTCCCACTGAGCTCTGGTGGTATACTCCTCCAGGGCTGATTTCCCAGGCTGCTCCCTTCCGTGTTGGGCTTACATGGTTTGAGGTATCCCCAGTGTTGGCCTCACCTGAAACACTGCATCTTCTTCCAAGAACAAGGGATGACCTTGGGCTGCAGCTACTACCGCATGTGGGACCCTGGCTGGGTTCCTCATGGAGCATCCAGAGGGTGGGCTTGGGTCATAATCATTTTGGTAACCCTAGCAGCTATGACAAGGTCTAGCATATAGCAGGTGCTCAGTGAATGTTGGAGAATAAATGAATGAATGAGTGAATGGATCATGACAGGGGGCGCTCAGCATCTCTGCCCACCCCTAAGTCCTCAGTGATGACCTGACCTAGTTTGCGCCCATGACAGAGCCCCAGCTCAGGGGCTTCCAGACTCTCCTTCGCCTCCCACACCAAGAAGGGGGAGCAGGCTGGACAGAGGCTCTCCTCTGAGAACCTTGATGGGCTGGGACCTGCTGGGAACACCTAGAGACTCTTGGTCTCACTAGACTCTCTAGTCCTTTGCTGCAGATTTGTCTTTGGGGGCTGACATACAATAAGAACTCAATGTTTATTGAACTGGGTGCTAGTGGGTGAAACACAAAGAAACAAACTCCCACCTTACTTTGTAGATCGTTGTACAGATTAAATGAAAGGATGCCTGTACAGAGCTTAGCATGGTGCCGGACACGTAGGAGGTATTTGGTGGGAAAGCTGGCTCTGTGGGCACCCAGTGTCCCCACAGCCCTGCTGCTATATTTGTTGGGTGAATGAATGGATGAGGACTGCTCTGTGTCCCCTTGCTGAAGGTCTCTGTGTCCCGCGGCAGCACTCCAGAAATGGCACAGCAGCATGACTCACCTACCTGGCCCCAGGGGAGAAGTGGCATTCCTAGAGATCCAGGGGTGCCCCAGCCCGACCTCAGAGGGTTCAGCCCAAGCTCTTCCCCCACAAACCTGCCCCCCCTCCCCCGCCCCTAGTCTTCATCTCTTCTTCCACCAGAGTCCTGGTCCTTCCCTCTTCCTCACCCCCATTGAGTCACTCTTTTTTTGAACGGAGCCTACCTCCAAACTGATTTATCTCCTCCCTCCCATTCCTGTTAGGGCCAGTCTTTCCCCTCCAACGTGTCCTTCTCAGGCTGTCCGAGCTGCCTTCCTAAAATAGGTCAGATGGCACGACTCACCCTCACTCAGCAACACTTAGTGTCTCCCCACTGCCCAAAGAATAAATATCTTTCCCATGGTCCTCGCTGGTCTGTGCCCAGCCTTAGCCCCTACCTACTATCAGACTTTCTCACAACAGTCCCACCATCACTCACCCAAACTTCAGTGCCTTGTCTTTTCCTTAGCCTGGAATTCCCTCCCTTCCTGCTCTCCACTCACTAGCCTTGAAGGCCCCACTCAAATGCCGTCCCGTTCCCAAGAGTCCTTGAGCACCCACAGTCAGAGCGACTCACCTACCCTTTGTGCCCTTCCCTGCTGACTTAACAGCTCTATTTCACCATTGCTTCACTCTGCCCGTTTCTCTGTGGACTTGCCCCCGACGGATGCTGGCTAGAATGACTGTAGGGCTGGTGAGGAGGCAGGGGCTGGCCCTACTGACCCTCTTATTCCTCACAGCACCTGGCATTTGGCAGAGCAGACGCTAAGTGAAATACCAGTTCAAATAGAATGAAGAGTAGACAAGCCTGCACCTCCCCCTCCCCCGACTTCTTTATCCCAGAGAAAATGCAATCGCCCAGAGCTGCATGCTCCAAAGGCCTCCCCAAGTGCGGCTGGTAGTCCTGGGAAAACCCATGCTTCCCTTCCCAGCACCCCTTCCTTGCTCTGCTCCCAGTCTTTATTCTTCTTCAGGGACCAAATGCTGGAGTTTCTCTCGTCTCGGCACCGCCCCCCCGAGCAGCTGGGAGATCTCAGGGCCCCACACTCCCACCTTCTTGGGCAGCACCCCAGCTGTCCTGCTCTGTGCAGCCAGGCCCGCCTCCTCGAGGCCCAGGTGGGTGGCAGGATCTCGGGAGCCCAGCTCGGCTCGCCCACCCCACTGTCTCTCAGTTCTTGGGGTTGAAGCCTCAGTCTCCCACTTCCAGCAGCCCCCTCTATCAGGAGCACCCTGGAGCTGGAATGATGCCATTGGGCCCCTGGACACCCCTGCCCTCCTTCCCACTACAGATGTGTTAGCCAGGCTCTTACCTCCCTTGATAGTAGAGCTGATTCCCCTTAGAATCCCCTGGGGTCCCCACACCCGTGCCCATACCTCATTCTCTTCCTCCTCTGCCAGGCGCTCCTCAATAAGCGCCGTGGCCCTCTGCACCGCCTCAGAGCCCTCCATGGTGCCGTCTATAACCAGCCTCTGCAGGCCACAGGGCCTCGGGGGCTTTATAAGCCAGGCCACCCACCCCCACCCTGCTGGGCGCCTTTGCCATGAGCTCACTGGCCCAATTCTCCACCTGCCTCCCCCACCTGTCACCTTCACCCCGGGCAGCCCCACGGAGCTGGGGGAAGCAGGGACGGTTTGCCCCCTCCCCCTCTCTGGCCCTATTGGAACTGAAGAGCCCAGTGCCCCAAGAGCAAGGCTGCAGGAAGGAGCCCGCCTAGCCTCTGTCCTGAGTGCTTGGGCCCAGCTGGGTCTTAGCCACGGCATCTGGGCTGCACAAAGGACCCACTGGCTGCCCCTAAGCCTGATGACAGTGCCACCTGCTGGACGCCTGGAAACTGCCCAACAAGTGCCAGTGAGGGGAACTGAAAGCCAACGGTGGGGACCCAACACAGGCCTGTGTCCCCAGCTGTCCTGTGAACAGGCTCTGCTCGCTCTGTGGTGGGGCAGACTCTGCTATGTCTGGGCTGGAGTGTCAGGGTGCTGGGCAGGAGTCAGGGCAGGTGCCTCCCTCTTTGCCCACAGCGCATGCGGGCCTTCGCCTCTCCGGGGGTCCCACAGCGCCCCCTAGTGAGGCATCACTGTATGTGGCTGCATGTCCATTAGCCTCTGACAAACAACCTTGACCATCTGACTGTCTCACAAGGCCTCTGCAAAACTTAAAAGGTCTTGCTTCAAGAAGAGTGTCAGGAAGCCACCCTAAAAGGGCCGGAGTGCAGTGCCGAGTCCGGGTGACGACCAGCTCCTTCTGATCATCCTTTCCTCCTGGTTTCCTTGTCAGGCCACCCCGACCAGGGTCGCTGAGAAGGAAAATCCTCTCAGTGGAGAAAAAGCAGGCCTGAACTTGCTCAGCTCCACACCTAGAACTGTGGGAGTGAGCCCCGGGCCGCCATGACCCAGCTTTAACCTGCCAGTGAGCACAGACGCCATAGCTCTGGAGTTCCAGAACGCTCACGTGGCTCGCCCTTAGCTAAACCACCTCATCAGAGGTCCCCCTCGGACGAATTGCACACTTTCCCTGAAGGAAGGCCAGGCACTGGCTCCTTTTTCTCTCTGGTTCCCTTGCTGGTAAGCTGACACCTGCTCACAATCTAAATCTAAGATTTTGCTTTCACATCCCCAAGGGTGCAGTGCAGCATCTCCAGGATTTGGGTGCATACCTCAGCCCTGAGGGCCCAGCTCGGAGGCTGCAGCAGGCGACCAGCACCCTCCCGCTACAGGAGCAGACGAGCAGATTACTAATGCCACCTTCCTGAGACGCGGACTCTGCTTTCAAAGCATGTTCACATCTGCTATCCCATTTAATCTTCCCAGCAACTGAGGGAAGAGGCAGGGCGAGAGGCATCTCCTCCACATTAAGAATAAGCAAAGTGAGGGGCGCCTGGGTGGCTCAGTCGTTAAGCGTCTGCCTTCGGCTCAGGTCATGGTCCCAGGGTCCTGGGATCGAGCCCCGCATCGGGCTCCCTGCTCGGCGGGAAGCCTGCTTCTCCCTCTCCCACTCCCCCTGCTTTGTTCCCTCTCTCGCTGTGTCTCTCTCTGTCAAATAAATAAAATCTTTAAAAAAAAAAGAATAAGCCAAGTGGGCTCAGAGGTCAAGGGTTTGTCCCATGGACCCATGAGAACACAGGGCCTGGAACACTAGGAATTCGAAGCTCCCTACTGTCCGCTGCCACACCAGAACTGGTTCCACAGCGGGGCTGGGGAGCCCACAGGCAAAGCTAGGCGAGAGAGAAGGAAGGAGCAAAAGGCTTTATTGATAAATATGCAGATATGTCTGTACACAGGGACCTGTGGTGGGCCATGGCCAGGCTGCAGACCCCCCCCACCGCTTGGGTTACAGCCAGGAGATGGCCCCGTGCAGACCCCTGCCTCAACAGCACAGCCGTCCAGCCACCCGCCCAGCTCCACCTCTGCCAATTGTGCTGGGGGGCAGGGAGAGGCAGAGGCCGGCCTCAGGCTCCATGCCCCTGGGGCTCACGGGCCATCCCCTCCCCTCCAGGGGACCAGCACTGGGCCCAGGGCAGAGTCAGGGAGTGGGGGCAGGGGAAGGGGACAGCAGCTGCTTCAGACCCTGAGCAGAAAACCGGAGTGAGCACAGGCGGCAGCACCAGAGGACAGATCTGGGCTCCAGGGGCCTCTGGGCTGGCGCTCGTGGCTCGAACCTGCTGCAGGAGAGAGGCAGGGTGGAAGGCCCCCGTTCGCCTTTTCTCCAAGGCTGGCAAAGCCTGTGTGTGGCAGCACTGCTTCCTGGGTGCGGGGCACCAGGGGCCCCGGGGGCCGGCGCCTGGGAGGCAGGGCCCCTTCACGGCTGGCCCAGCAGCCACGCGGTCGGAGGCACCCCTGAAGAAAGCGACACCACGTGGAGGCAGGGTGGGGGCACCCAGTGCTCAGCCGGGGGGGGGGTCTCTTCACCCCGAAGAAGCCTCCACGGCCTCTCTTCCCAGGGGTCCGCGGGCTCCTCAGTCCTGGGGCGGCGGGGGCTGGTTGATGATGACCTGGATGACAAAATCTTTCTGGATCTTGGTTTCCTGGAGTCGCGTGCGGTCTGTGAGCAGCTTCCCGGAGAAGAACCACCGCTGCCAGGACGGCTCGATGCCCTCCTGGGTGTGCAGTTGCCTCTTCAGCTGCCCCACCGTGTCGGGCAGGCTGGCGCTGAGCCTCACGTCCTTGCCCGTGGAGAGGCGCACCTTCAGGGGGAACTCGCGGCGCACCCCGGGCGTGGGCTCAGGCGGCTCCAGGCTCTCCTCCTCCGTGTGCTCCAGCAGCAGGTTCACGGGCGGCGACAGGCAGTAGATGGGCAGCTGGTAGCGATTGCCCAGCTCATCATAGCATTCACAGAGGGTGCCTGGGTGAAAAGCGGGGCAGTCAGAGTCTGCTTGGGGAGCCCCACAGTTCCCACGAGGAAACCCTGACCCCCAATGTCACTGTAATTTGGAGACGGGGCCCAAATGGGAGTCACTAAGGTTAAATGAGGTCACATGGGTGGGGCACCAATCCAACAGGATTAGTGTCTTTCTAAGAAGAGATGGTGGGGCAGTATGTACATGAGGACATAGCAAGCAGGCGGCCATCTACAAGCCAAGAAGAGAGCCCTCACCAAAAATGGAATCAGCTGGCACCTAGGTCTCGAGCTTCCCAGCCTCCAGAACTATGAGAAGGAAATTTCTGTTGTGCAATAAGCTACCCAATCTGTGGTGTTTTGTTAGAGCAGCCCAAGCAAACTAATACACCTGTTCTGGCCACCCCACAGTCCCCGAACCCACCCTACAGTCAGTTGTCTCTGGGACAGGCAGCTGGGAGGAGTTCAAGGTAGAATCAGGAAGATGTGGGCCAGCATCTTGGCTCTACTAGGTACTGGCTTGTTCAGTGCTGGCAAACTATGTAACTTTCCATTTGCTCATTCAACAACTCTTTCCTGGAGCATATGTGCTGGGTGCTGGGGTTACCAGGGTGAATGAGAAAGCACGGGCCCTACTCTTCATGGCTTATAGCCTGGTGGGCCCCAGTTTCCTTCCTGCACTATGTATTGCACACAGTAATATATTTGTTACATCTTGAGCACCCACTAAGTTCCGGGACTGGGACTAAAGGCTGTTCTGCATATCTTGCTGAGTCTTAACAACCATCCTACTAGGTGGGTATCCCCACTTTACAGTTGTAAGTTCCTGAGACTTTAAAATCCAGAAGCTCCCCACTCAGGGACACACTACCAAAAACCGAGACATTTGTTAAAACCCAGGTCTGTCATTCTACCGTTCACTGTGACCCTCTACTTTACATTGCCCCATAAGGCTGTTATGAACTTAAGTGAGATACTACAGTAGAAGCTTCTAGCTCAGTGCCCAGCACATAATAACTCCCAACAGAAGGTTAGTGCCTCAGATGTTCTGTGATCCCAAAGTACCCTGAGCAACGCTAGCTTGCTCTCATCACACTGCTTTGAGGTCAGCTGGTGCCCTTCTATCCCTTCATTAGACAAGCGAGGACTGTGTCTCACTTTAGTTTTTGTCCCCACTCCTGGTGCATGCTCAATAAGGGCTGCGTGAATCAACAAGCAAATGGCTACCCTGGCCACCTAGCAGCTTGGATAAAAACTCCCAATGTGTGGCCGGCCGCCAGCTCTCTTCTAGCCGAAGCAGCCTGACGGCCCCCAGCCCAACAGGGAGAAAGCCCGGCCCTGCCTGCTCACCATGAGGCAGGGTGATGCTGGCTCCGTCCAGGATGGCCTGAGCCAGCTCATGGTCGTTGGCCTCGGCTGCATAGGCGGCGGCCTTGAGGGCGTCCCAGATCTCCTTGCGGCCCTCAAAGGCAGGTGCTGTGTCCCAGAACTCATCCCGTTTGCTCCGCAGCTGCCCGTCAGTCATGGGGTAGTCACTCTTCCACTTCAGCCGCTCCTTCTTCAGGGGCTCATTGCGCCCTGGGCAGGACGGGAGGGACAGGCTGAGTGCCTCTGAAGCCAGGCTGCGGCCCGCTCTCTCTCCCGCCCCTCCCCTGCTAGCACCCTCCCACCCCTTCCCTCCCCAGCAATGGCTCCAAAGTATTCCGGTCTCAGGGCCCTTTCCTGGCAGCGTCAGGGAAGTCTGGAAACGGCATACACCCAACCTGGGGATGTAAACAATTTTTGTCAGCAGAGCATGTATCACCTCTTTCTTTGATTATAAAGGAATACATGTTCAGTAGTCTTAAAAACCTGGCAAGAATGTCAGTGTGTGAGAGTAACCGTGGCCATTTATGGGGCAGGGTGAGCGCTTTAAACCCACTGCGCATCTGGTCCGCAAAACCCAGCAGATGGGCCCACTGAGACCAGGAGAGCCCATCATTTGCCTGAGGCCACATGGGTACAGATTTCACACAAGACGTTCTGAGTGCTGAGGCCACCCTCCATCTGCGCCATGCTGCCACCGGGGAAGAAACGACTGCAGAATTCCACTACGCAGAAATAACCATCATTGACACCTAAACATATTTCCTTTCCCCCCATTTCTCTCAATATAGTTGAGTTGATATTATTTTTTTAAAAGACTTAGAGAGAGATCAGAGAGTGAGCGCGCGTGCATGAGCAGGGGTGGGCATTTGTGGTGGGGCAAGGGAGACAAAGTTCCAGGCAGACCCCCTGCTGAGCACAAAGCCCAAAGTGGGGCTCCATCTCATGACCCTGAGCCGAAATCAAGCATCGGGACGTTTTATTGACTGAACCACCCAGGTGCCCCAGTGGGGTTGATACTACTAATTTTATTTTTTTCTATTCCTTGTTACAGAAAGGACTTCACATTTTTTCATGCCAATATACAACTTTATTTTACAGTTACATTATTGTCAATGTGTCAATGTATATTCCCATCATTAAAAATGATAAACTGCAACGTCTATATGTTATTAATGTCCTACCATGTAGTTACAAAATACATTTTTTGAAAAAACCATAACCAACCAACCAAAAAAACCCTGCAGCATCTGAAGAGGAAAACAATTTTCTGTTAAATGTCATTTTTCTTGTTACCTGGCCCCAAGGGACTTCCAAGACAAGTCGAGACTGAGGGCAGAAGCATCTCTCAAAGGCTCTAGGAGGCTCAGTCCTTTCAGAGCTGAAGGCAGAATAATCCACAGGAGGAAGGTCTAAAGTCTGCGGCTCCCACTCTAACTCAGATCCTCCAGGCAAGGGGCCGAACCCAAGCCGGGGTCTGCCAACCAGGCTGCCCGGTCTGGCTGCGGCAGGAGAGGGGGCTCCTCAGGGGAACACGACGGCATCCTACCCCTACGAACTGTGTGAAAGAAGCCCCTGCAAGCACCGTATTTATATATATTAGCCCGGTTCGGCTTTGCAGCAGCCTTAGGCATTCAGGGTTTATAGCTTCTTCAGAGAGGATGGGACAGGCAGAGAGATCCAGTGACTTGCCTGAGGTCACGCAGTAAGTGAGAGAGCATATATGGCTCAGGTCAGACTGAATCCACAGACGGCCCTCCTGAGGGTTTGCCGCTGAGGTGCAGGCAGAAAACTCTCAAAGCCAGACATTTAATTTAAAGAGCTCCTGGGTTAGCAGAAAGAAACGCAAATCCTCTTTGTGGGAAAACAACTTTAAAGCAGGCCTCAAAGAATTCCCAGGATAAAGTTCCAAGGAAAAGAGATGATAGGGTCATAGTTTTTTGTTGGTTTTTTTTTTTTATCACAACATACAAGGAAACAAGGCAATAGAAGCCAGAGCCAGCAAAAACGGCAGATGGAAGAATCAGACTGACAAAGATTTCAGATATGGGATTTATCAGACACAGATTATGAAATACCAAGTTTAAGAAATAAGTGAGTCTTAACCATATGAACAAGGAAAAAGAGATTATAGAGAATGACCAAGCAGAAATTAAAGGAACCATACAGGACTTCTAGAAATGAAAAACATAATATTGATATTTAAAGGGTCTAACATTTTAAGTCAGAATTTCCAGAAGGATATAACAGGAAGAATGGGAATGAAACAATATTCAAAGAGATCATAAAAATGTCCATTTTCTAAACTGTCCCATAAATTCAATGCAACTCCACTAAGATTCCTAACTGGAAAGCCCCCTCCGGCCCTGCCGCCGCCCCACCAGGAACTCAAGAAACTGATTCTAAAGTTTATATAGAAGAACAAAGCCACCCCTAGAGTAGAATGAGGTGGGAGAACCTGTGCTACCATTACCTACACTAATTATAAAGCTATGGTGAGAGGGCAGTACTGGAACAGGGACAGACAAATGGGCCAATGGGACAGAACAGAGAGCCCAGAAATAGACCCAGCATATATGGAAATGTGATTAAAATGAGAAGGAACACTGCAGATGGTGTGTGTGCAAGAAGGATGTGAAATAAATATATATATTCATTATATATATTATATATTTATATATATGTATGTTTCTGCCCCTGGTTTCTGATAATATTTGGTCTTTGACCTGGTTCTTGATACATAGCTCCTAAAACCCTTAAAATTTCCTGAGTGATAGGAATGTCTGATACAGAGCTCCTAAATCCCTTGGAATTTCCTGGGTGATACAAGTGTCTTTTGTTCTAATGAAGTGGCTCTTGGTGGGCTCTATGATAAGCTTGGAACTTTCAGCCCTATCCCCCATTCTCTGGTGAGGAGAGAAGGGCTGTACACATTGAGTTAATAATTGGTCATACCTATGTGATGAAGCCTCCACAAAAATCCCAAAAATATGGGATTGGAGAGCTTCCAGATTGGTAAACATATCCATGTGCTGGAAGGGTGGTGCACCCCAAGTCTGGGACAAAAGCTCTTGTGCTCAGGACACTTCCAGACCTCCCCTCATGTATCTCTTCATCTGGCTATTCATTTGTTTTTATTTTATTTTATTTTATTTATTTATTTGACAGAGAGAGACACAGAGAGAGAGGGGGAACACAAGCAGGGTGACTGGGAGAGGGAGTAGGGAGCCTGACGCGGGGCTCGATCCAAGGATCCCAGGACCATGACCTGAGCCGAAGGCAGACGCTTAACGACTGAGCCACCCAGGCGCCCCCTGGCTATTCATTTGTATCCTTTAAAATGTCCTTTCTAATAAATCAGCAGTAGTAAGTAAACTATTTTCCTGGGTTCTGTTGAGCCGCTCTACCAAATTACTGAACCCAAGGAGAGGGTCATGGGAACCTCTGATTTGTAGCCAACTTGGACAGAAGTTGTGGGTAACCTGGGAACCCACTACTTGAAACTGGAAGCTGGGGGCAGTCTTGACGGGTAAGCCCTTACCATGTGGGGTCTGCACTCACTCCAGGTAGTGTCAGAATTGAACAGAATTGTAGGACACCAGTTGGCATCCAGAGAAAATTGGAGAATTGCTTGGTGTGGGAAAAACACCCATTCATCTGGCATCAGAAGTGTTCTGTGTGATCAGTAAAGGAGAAACACAGGAGATTTTTCTTTATGATGAACTACTGATAAATGGTGTTAGGGCTATAGGTTCTCCTATATAGGAAAACATGAAACAGAATCCCTACCTCACACCAGCCACAAACATCAAAACCAGATCAGGGACTTAAAAGTGTGGAAGAGAAAGGATGCACTGGAGAGACAGAAGATTACAGTTTTGTCCAAATGTTTTTTGTGAAAGTTTGGCTTGGATGTGGTTTTGCTTGGATCAAAGAAATAGCTCTGCTTCATGATTTCTCTGGTCCTTTAGCAAGAACTCTGATCAACCAGGGTTCACAGTCATGTGGTGACACCCTCAAGGACTTCTGGGTGGTGTGGGGCTTCTGCCCCTCCACTCACTGACCTGATCGTCTTTTTAACTTCTTGAGCTGATTTCTATAGTTTTCCTGTCTCCTTCCTCTTGGCCAGATGTCACTTTTTTTTTTAAAGATTTTATTTATTGGGGCGCCTGGGTGGCTCAGTTGTTAAGCGTCTGCCTTCGGATCCTGGGATCGAGCCCCGCATCAGGCTCCCTGCTCGGCGGGAAGCCTGCTTCTCCCTCTCCCACTCTCCCTGCTTGTGTTCCCTCTCTCGCTGTGTCTCTGAGAAGGCAGACGCTTAACGACTGAGCCACCCAGGAGCCCCCAGATGTCACTTCTTACTGGTTTCTGTCTACCTGTGGCTCCTATGGGTAGAGGTCAGGCCCAGCTAATGGGCTCCTAATCTGCTGAGTGTTAAGAAAGCTTGTCAGTACTTTCGAAATCGAGAGCATCCGGTTTTAAGAAAAAGGCTTCCTAAAGAAGAAAGAGACTAGGCTTCAGGACATCTGTTGTTCCTGCTCAGATCCCCGCAACCCCTGCCCCATCAAATGGAGTTTGGCTCTGTTCCTGACAGTTGAGGATACCTGAGGTATAAGCATGTACACATGCCTCTCACTGTCTTCGTAAGATAAAAATAGCCCCATGGTGTCCCCTTTCAAAGTCATCACCTGAAGGATGCTTTGCTCACATACCTGGCTTTCAGAGGCCCCTCCCCTGCATGTGGACAGTAGAATGCTTTCCAACTATCATAGACCCACCCACAGAAGGGACACAATGCAAGTGCACATCTGCAAGTATTAACAGTATCTGCCGTCACCCAGGATACAATGGTGTAAAAATTCCTTATCCTGGGTGTCTGCCTTCGGCTCAGGTTGTGATCCCAGAGTCCTGGGATCGAGTCCCACATCGGGCTCCTTGATCAGCAGGGAGCCTGCTTCTCCCTCTGCATGCTGCATCCTCTGCTTGTGCTCGCCCTCTCTCAATCTTTCTCTCTGACAAATAAATAAAATCTTTAAAAAGTAAAATAAAATAAAAACAAATGGTATTAATGCCCTACTTAAAAAAAATTCCTTATCCTGTATGCTGGTCCTTTCAAACGGAAAACACTAGAAAGTATTAGAATGGAGTGGGGGGTGGCGGTGGGAACAGGGAGGGTTGATGTCCGGAAAAGGCAGCCCGAGCAGCTGTGATGG